CTCTAATCTTCTATTGGATGTGTATCTGGTAAAGATTTCCTCCCAGTTTGGGTTTGAATCCTTTCAACTCAATTTATTGTTTCCTTTGCTATACATAAGGTTTTTAGTTTCATGAGGTCCTAGTGGTTGGCATTAATTCCTGAGCAAATAGAGTCCTATACAGAAAGTCCTTTCCTGTAATAGTTATGTCTTATATGATACTCCCTGGGTTTTCTTCTAGCACTTTTGGCGTTTTGGGTTTCACTTTGAAGTCTTTGATCCATTTGAAGTTGCTTTTTGTACAAGGTGAGTGATAAGACTCTAATTTCATTTTTCTACCTGAGGCCATCCAGCTCTCCCAGGACTGTTTATTGAAGATGCTGGCTTTCCTCCAGTATGTATTTTTGGCATCTCTGTTGAGTATCAGGTGGCTGTAATTGTGTGGGTTTAAGTGTAGGTCTTTGATTCTGTTCCATTGGTCTACATTTGTTTTTGTACCAGGACCATGCTATTTTTGTTATTATAGTTATATATATCCAGTATGGTAATCCCTCTACAATTCCTCTTTTTGCCGAGGGTTGCTTTGGCTGTCCAGGGTCTTTTGTATCATCATGTGGATTTTAGGATTTCCTTTTCTGTAGAAGTAACCATCTTATTAAATAAGAAACACAGAGCCAATGTAAAGATAAAAGCCCAAGAGGTCAGAGCTAAGAGCCTTACCCTTCCTGCTTCAGCGATCCTCTTCAGCCAAGAGAGACCTACTTCCTGTGTGTTTGTCTTTATATAGACTTTCTGTTCTGCCTTCTCATTGGTTGTATACCCAACCACATGACTCCTCAGCACTGCCTGTCTGTACAGACCTCCAGGTCTTCTATGGTTGGTATTGAGATTAAAGGCATGTGTCTCCAATGCTGGCTGTATCCTTGAGCACACAGAGATCTACCTAGTTCTGCTTACCAAGTGCTGGGATTAAAGGTGTGCACCATAAACGCTCAGCTCTGCTATGGCTTACTATTAGCTCTGACCCCCAGGCAACTTTATTTATTAACATACAAATAAAATCACAATTCAGTACAAATAAAATATCACCATACTTTTCTGTTTCTGTTAAAAATGTTGTGGGAATTTTTTATTGGGATTGCATTGAATCTGTAAGTTTCTTTTAGTAGCATGATGATTTTTACACAATTATTTCTTCCAAACCATGAGCATTGCAGGTTTTTCCACCTTTCAATATTTTCCCAAATTTCTGCATGGACTTAGAGTTTTCATCTGAGATGTCTTTCACTTCCTTGGTAAGGTTTATTTGTGAGGGTTATGGTGGGCTTCACTATTGGTGTTTTTTAGAATATTATTTCTATGTTATCTTTCCCAGCATATTTGTTATCTGTCCATACAAAGGCTACTGATTTTTTTAAGTTAACTTTGTTGTAGTTGGAAGTTTCTCTGGTCCTGCCCAGGCCCTGCAGTCAGGATGAATCTCTCCTGCCTGGTCCTGCAGCTGCTCAGATCCAAATAAACATACAGAGGTTTAATATTAGTTACAAACTGTATGGCTATTAGCTCAGGCTTATTACTTATTAGCTCTTACACTTAAATTAACCTATAATTTTTATTTATGTTTAGCCATGTGGCTTGGTACCTTTTCTCAGTTCTGCCTTGTCATCTTGCTTCCTCTGTGTCTACCTGGTGACTCTTGACTCAGCCTTCTACTTTCCAGAATTCTCCTTGTCTGCTTATACTTCCTCCTATACTTCCTGCCTGGCTATTGGCCAATCAGCATTTTATTTATCAACCAATCAGAGCAACACATATCCACAGTATACAGAGCAACATTCCACAGCACTTTGTGCCCTGCCACTTTGCTCGGAGTGCTCATAATTCTAGAAGTTTTCTGGTGGAATCTTGGGAATCTTTAATGTATGTCATGTCATCTGACTTCTTTATCATGTGACTTCTGTTCTTCTTTGTATCCTTTCAATTTTCCTCCCTTATTTTATTGTATTGGATAGTTCTTTGGACACTATATTACAAAGGAGTGAGTGTGATAAACAGCCTTGTCTCATTCCCAATTTTAATGGGATTGCTTCAAGTTTTTCTCCAGTTGGAATGATGTTGCCTGTAACTTTGTCATATACAAACTTGATTATATTGAAGTATGTTCCCTCTAGCCTAACTCTAGGACTTTTACTATGAAGACATGTTGAATTTTGTCAATGACCTTTTCTCTGTCTATTAAGATTGTCTTGTGATTTTTGTCTATAAAGTCCATTTATATTAATTATTCCATTTATTGATTTATGTGTGTTGAACCATTTCTATATCTTTGTAATAAAGCAGCTTGGTGATATTGGATGATATTTTGATGTATATGTATATTTGGCTGACAAATATTTTGTTGAGAACTTTCACAACTATGTTCATCCTGGGTATATTGGAGTGTAGTCTTGTTCTTGTGTCTTTACCTGGCTTTGGTTTAGAGTGATATTGGCTTCATAGAAGGAGTTTTGATGTGTTACTTATGTTTCTAATTTTTTGGAATAACTTGAGAAATATCTGTTTTACTCTAATAGAATTCTGCTGCATGAATCCAAGTCTTTGGGCTTGGGCTCTTTTTAGTTGGAAGAGTTTTTATTATGTTTTCAATGTTCTTTTTTATTACAGGTATGTTTAAATTATCGACTTCTTGTTTTAACTTTGGCATTCCAAATGTTTATAGAAACTCATACATATCTTTTAGGTTTTTCCAACTCAAATAAGTATAGGGTTTTAAAGTATTCCCTTTGATTTTTATGAATTTCTTTGGTTTCTGTTTAATGCTTCCCTGTTCATTTCTAATTTATTAATTTAGATATTTTCTTTCCTTCTCATTAATTAAGATAAGGGTTTTTCAATCTCATTTGTCTTTTCAAAGAACATACTCAGCTTTATTAATTCTCTATATTTTTTGTTTGTATATTTCTATCCATTAATTCCTGCCTTGGTTTGTATTATTTCTTTCCATCTACTGCTTTTGGATTTGGTTTATTCTTGATTTTTCTAAACACTTGTTGCACATTCTTAAGCTATTTATTCTTTCTGATATTTTAATGTAGGAATTTAGTGATCTAAATTTCCCTCTTAGGACTGCTTTCAATGTGCCTCAGAGGTTTGGCGTGCTATGTTTTATTCTCATTTAGTTTAAGCAATTTACCTTCTTGATTATTTTTTTCTTTGATCCATTCATCATTCAGTAGTGTGCTGTTTAAACTCTGTGAATTTGGACCATTTTTAATGATTCTTTTGCTTTGAATTTGAATTTTGATTAACTTGATTAAATTGTTGATAGTTACTTAATTTTCTTGTATTTTTTGAGATTTGCTTTCTGCACCAATATGCAATCTATTTTAGAGAAACTTTCATAGATTGCTGAGAAGAATGATGTAAGGCGTGAGGAGACAGGAACTAAGGCTTTTGGGCAGAAGCCTCCCTTTCAGCTAGAGGCCTATTGCCTGAGGCTCTTTCAGGCTGAGGAGTTGGTGAGGTAAGAGGTGGTGGCTGTAGCTTGCTCTGCTTCTCTGATCTTTCAGCTTTGACCACAATATCTGGTTCCTGGTGCTCTATTAAAAGACCATTTAGCATTTGAGCAACATCTGGCACCCAGTTTTTATTAAAAGACCAATTTAGATTTTGTGTTATATGTGTGTTCTGTGGTGTTTGTGTCAACTATTCTGCAGGTATCTGTTAGGTCCTTTTGATCTATGATATCACTTAACTTTAATGTTTCTCCACTTATTTTTTGTGGGATGGCCTATCCATTGGAGAAAGGCAGGTATCAAAATCACCCACTATTAATGTGTTGGGGTTAACCAGTGTCTACAAGTCCAGTGGTATTTTTTTTTATGAAATTGTATGTGCCTAAGTTTGTTGTACACATGTTTAGAATGGCAGTGTTTTATTGGTTGTTCCCTTGTCCAGAAAAAAAGTATCATTGTTTATCTCTTCTGATTAGTTTTGGAAGGTGAAGATAGGAAATATCTGAAGCAGTCTAGCTATGCAGACTAGTTTAAACAATGAACTCCTGATTCAACAAGAGACCTGTCCTTGATTATATGAGGTAGACCGCAATCAAGGATGACAACCAATGACATCAACCTCTGGCATACACGTGTGTACCTACATATACATATATTTACATATATGCAAATAGACACATACACATGCACACATATATGTGCAATAAAGATTATCCTGAAACTATATCTATATATGCACATATATATCACATGTATGTTTTCTTTTGTGAATTTCATTTGAAGAGTTTTGAAACTGTTAAGATAAAGGTCTTTCACACGTTCAAGCTACAGTGTGAATCTACAAAATGGCAGAAGAAAATATTCACTAATGTAAGGCTTACAGCTATTGATGAGAGTCACTTAGGTTTTCCTACTAAGCCAAAACCTACTTTAAGGTAATATTAAGGAGCATTTTAAAAAACAGATTGCTTGATTTCCAGGATTGTGAGGAATGCTATTGTAAATCATTTTAGCTTACCCTGTGATCTAACCCCATTAACCAACTCAGAGGCTTTGAAGGAAAGGCAACCCAGGAGTGTTACTCTGGCACCTTGGCTTAAAAACAGTCATTTGGAGTTGGTTCTCCAGTGCCTTGTACACTTTCAACTGTCTTCGAACACTTGTGCTTCATACCTGAAAAGGGGGCTTCTCTCCAGAGCTCCACCATTTCCATGGCTAGCACAATGTCCTTGAAATAACTCATAGACCAAGAAACCATTTAAGGCCGGGCGGTGGTGGCGCACGCCTTTAATCCCAGCACTCGGGAGGCAGAGCCAGGTGGATCTCTGTGAGTTCGAGGCCAGCCTGGGCTACCAAGTGAGTCCCAGGAATGGCGCAAAGCTACACAGAGAAACCCTGTCTCGAAAAACCAAAAAAAAAAAAAAAAAAAAAAAAAAAAAAAAAAAAAAATAAATACTAAATACTAGGAGGTCAGAGGTTGCAAGGACAGGATGAGCTGTGGGAAAAATCTTCCTCTAAGGCAGAATTTATAAGCTAGTCTTTGACTAATCATGAAGTATGAACTGGTTTCAGACATCGACAGCAAATAACATCCCATGGCCAAGCAGCATTAATTCATGGATGTGTGTATGTTCCATACCTATTATCCTCCATCATATATACATTCTAGAAAAAGAAAAGAATCAAAAAGCAGACTGTCGAACTGTTGTCTGTCCCATCCAACCCTTTAATCTGTGAGCAAATCAGTGCCACAAAATTTTCATTATCCTTAAAATTATGATTAAATCTTAGATTATTGGTTACCTCTCACATTCAATTACTCTATTTCAAAGCCTGTGGTTTGTAGCAGTCAGATTAATATATGAGGAGCTACATGATCAATAAGACCTTCTCTCTACCCTAGTGTTTTATCCAGTTGCTGAGAACAAGTATGACCCAGTAAGAGAAGTAAAAGCGTATTGATGTAAACTGATAATAAGAAAGTTTCATAAGCAGGAAAACAAAACTCCAATAAGGAACATACTCGGGGTCAAAATTAGGTCAGCATAAGAGTCAATCTTGCCAGAGGAGGCATTCTGGAAGAGGTTGGTGTTTACACTTGTGACGTTTTTTTGTGGGTCCCATTATGCTTCTTCCTCTTCTTAGCAATGACTCAGCAAATCAATTTCAGAGGCAGCCTCCGGGCACTTTCCCTGCTGATGGGTTTCTAATGAAAACGCTGACGCACTCTTAAGTGTCTCTGGGACCCTTGAGCAGCTCTGCAGAGATGAGTGCGTCACTTCCCCCTGAACAATGCGTCTCATTCATTGCTTGAAGTGTGACCATTCATGTTGAAAATGAAATTCCGAAGAGCGATCTGCTAAGGGAAATTATTCAGGGCTACTCACTTAAAGATCTTCCAATCTTTTGTGCTTCTCAATTAAGACTCCGAAGAACCTCTCCAGGGTAAATTGGTGCGACCTGCACATTGAGAGTCAAAGAAAAATGAAAAGTGAGAGACTGTAGGAACTTTTCAAAGTTGTCTACCCCAGGAAATGGCTAGCGTTGGTTGTAACTAGAACACCAAATAGCCTGGTATAGTGGAAAGAACCACCGGCTTGACCGTTAGAAAACCTTGGTGCTGACCCAGGTTTTGTCTACAGCTAGCTCCCTAGGCACTGTGGGGGCACTTTAGAAACGTATGTATTATCAGACATGGAAGAAATAACCCAGCCCAAATACATTTTGTTAAAAAGTAGAAAGCCAGAAGATATCCAGAGGAAAATGTAATAGCTGGGTCTCCTCAATCCTATTTAATCAGCGTGGGTACTTTGCTATGTTTACTTTCTCACTATTTTAGTAAACAAATAGTTCAGATGTTACAAAATTGAAGCTTTATTGGACCCTTTGCCTAACATTGAACCCAATCAAAATATAAATAAATTTGGCTTTCTTAAACAATTTAAAATATTCTACATAGTTGTTCACATATATGGTATGTAAGTATCTTAACAGCCTATTATGGTTTTAAATTTTTATATACTATGTATCAAAGGTAGACACGAATTATTATCTTAAAAATTGCTTTACCATGTACAGTTAGATTTTTTTCTGCTACTTTATTTTAGATTTCTCTTGCTGGGACTCTACCTTACTCCATCAGTAGTTTATATCTGATTAATATAACTTTGTTGGTCCTTATCCCTCTCATACTCATTTGTAAGTTATGCATTTTATTTCTAGTCTTTTAGAGGCTGTCTGTAATTTGCGATGCTTCTACCCATTATTAATTCTCTAACATGTGTGCAAGTCCTGGTTTTCATGCTGTTGTGGTCGAAAATCTCAACGGTGACATGTTGCAAAACAAAAGGAAGTTCATTTATTTGCTTATTTACTATAAATACCTGTATATTTTTATACATATAGTATCTGGTTTCTCTTCTTGTCGATTTTTTCAAATCATACTCCTTATTTCCTAATTTTTCTTTATGAATTATGTCCTTCAACAGTTCCTTCAGCAAAGATTTGAGTGCACAACCCCCCCCCCACTATCTAAAGATGCTTCATTTTATATTTCCTGAAATGCACAGAAGTCTCTGTTCACAGTTATTTTCCTACAGGACTTTGAACAAGATCTTTGATTAGTAAAAAATAGGCTGTCACTGTGATTGCTGTACTCTGGACAACTGTCTCATCTAGTGGGACTTAACAGTCTGTTTTCCATTGTTAACACATGTGTGGGCTTATTTTTCTTTCTTCTATTGTCTGTATCCATTGTTGCTCATGGAAAACCTCCTGTTTCTTGAATTCTGGAAAATAACAGACATTACCTCTCTTAAGCCTTCTTCCTTATTCTTTGTTGTTGCTGTCTTTTTTCTTATTATTACACACATGTTGCTTCCCACGAATTCTTAATTTTCTTCTTTCTAACTTTTTTCCATCGTTGTATCACTCTATACCCTGAAGAACTACCTAGGTTCTCTCCAACTTTTTGTTTTCTAATGGCTTTGGTCATGCCAAGCTAGTATTTAAACTGCTGTTGTATTTCCCACTTTCATTTTTTATTTCTTGAGGAATCCAAAGATAAGTGATTTAAAAAAAAAAAGGCAACTTTCTTTTTTTCAGCCTTTCTCACTATTTTGTTTTCCTTCTGTAAGAATTCTCTTGTCTTCAAGCTTTCATTCATCCCCAATGGAGTTTTTCATTCATCTCCTATGGAGTTTTTCATTCATCGCTACCCTATGGAGTTTCTCTGGTGCTCTCTTTGAGGAGTACTTTGTGATCACCTCACTCTACATCTTCAGTTGTCTGTATTGACAGAAAGTGTTACCTTAGCAATTTAGTGGATGCTTCCCTCTCTCAGAAGTGACAGCTCCATTCTCAATGCCTGTACCTACTTGCTATAGCCTGAGGTCCAGCTTCAAATAAGAATCTTCAATGTTGGGCTTCAGCAGACAGGAAGGACAGTCTGATCGCTAAGAGCACAGTCCTACCTCTGTCAATCACTCCTATGCACCCATTTGTCGTATGTCATATGCATATGTCAGTCACACATATGCACCCATCTGAAGACTCAGCTCAACCATTTCATTCACTTTCCTCTCACTGGTACCAAGAGACTTCAGTCTCTGCCCATGCCTATAGACTTCCTTTGTTTTATTAACATTGACTCTTTATTATTTATTTTAAAACAAAAGTATTACAGTCTATTTATTAGATATTGGAGAGATATAAAATATAAATTCCTCCTCTACCATGCGGTTTCTCCATTTAGCAAGCAAGAAAACTAAATCCTAAAAAATAGAATAGCTTATCCAAGGCATAGCCCAATTAATATTAGTGTACATATTACAAAGTAATTCACTATTTATTTAAACATTTATTTATATCATTGTGGACCCATGGATTTCCCCCCTCCCCACTTCATTTTGCTTACCAAATTGTTCCCTTGATATATCTTTGACATACCCATCTTATGTGCAGGTAAGTGTGTATGTGTGCACATATTTAAACTCAATTTCCCTCTCTCCTTCCCTCCCTCTTCCTTCCTCCCTCCCTCCATCCCTCCCTCCCTCCAATCTTCCCTTCCTTCTTTTATTTCTGGCAGTATGAGAGTCTTTTGGTATAAATTTCCTGTCCCAGACCTGAAATCATTAATTTGTCCGAAGAGCCCAGATTATTTTCAGTAAGTAGATTTGGCTAAAAGAAAATGGTGAACTAAATTCAACATAACGAGACATTATTTTCCCTGTTCATCCTCACTTATAAAATATTTGGTGTTCTTTCTTTGGTCAGTTTCACAGGACTACTAAGAATAGATAAAAGGCTTCACAAAGTCATAGGATTTCTTTGAAAAGAGAGACTTTCAAAATGGATGTGTGACCCCTTAGGAAAAAAATTGGAAAAGCAGCTAAGATAACATGCCATCTTTCTTTGCCAGTTAAGACCACACAACTCTTATAAAGATGGGTTGACTATTGAACTATCACTTGAAAACTTCTTAAATACATGATCAAATTAAATTGATAATATACTAAATTTCTTTTCTTCTTCCCTATATATGCACTAAATTTAAAGAAATAGACTCTTCTTTAATCAGCGCCAAGGGGAATACCACAGCAAATTTTAATAAGCTACTGTTGCTTGTTTAAACAAAGAAGTTAAAATGTGTATTGTTGCAATGTATCTTTCATATGTGCTCGGTCTCCAAAGCCTTGTGCTTATTTACAAGTCTCCACAACAGAGCAGTTGCCATAGATATAGTAAAAGCCCAAAGGACAGCTTGCTGAACCTTTGGAAAAACAATTGCATTTCCAAAGGTGAGGAATAGATATTGAGTTTTAATGACAGTTGATCTTTAGGATAACGTCATAGTTGATAGAAGGTTTTCAGAATAAAATCCAAGATTTCAGGTAAATCTGGGGACCAATTACGTGAAATTCAAAGAGAACAGTGAATGCCAGTGAGTCTTACAGCAACTATGTGCAAGTCAGCATTGGGAATAAAGCCTTTTCTGAGATAATGATAATGGAGATGTCGTGAAGATGACCACAGATGGTACTCTGGGCTCCGGAGTTTAAGTTGCTTCAGTTACAAAGTAACTTCAGTTGGCAACTTCATTCCATTCCTCTCAAAGGGAAAGAAGCCAGCTCCCATTGGAGGTTTTGGCCTTCTGAAGATCTATTTTTATTATTTTTAATTTGTGTGTGTGTGTGTGTGTGTGTGTGTGTGTGTGTGTGTGTGTGTGTGTGTGAGTGTGTGTGCTCAGTTTCTTTGTCTTTTTAACATTTTCTTTTCCCACCTGAAACTCATGATCAAGTACACTCATGTACTGACATTCAAGATCTCCAATGGAGTTTTCCACTCTGGAAGGCCAGTTTACGAGCCCTCCTTATCTTCTATCAATTTGAAGACAAAAAAAAATGTCTTATGAACATATGATTTGTAAAAATTTAACCTCTTGGTAATGTGTAAAGAGAAGGGGGAATGAAGCGGGAAGCAATGTGGTGGGAGGGGAGCCCAAGTAGAACAAAGGTGGCCCCGGGATGCACGGTCATCCAATGGCTCCGGCCAGAGAACTGAGATGGGCTGTCTGGCTCTTTAATAAGAAGCGAATCCTCCAATGAGAACACGCTCTGGTCCGCACATATCACTTGACCACCGAAGGAGAACAAGATGTTGATGAGATTAGTACTTCAAAAGAAAGTCTTCCAGAATGACAAACCCACGGTAGAGCAAAGTAGCTGACAAAGAGAGGACAGACACGGGCAGCCGGGGCAGCAGACATTGGGGACACTCACCTGTCCTCTAGGCTGGTTCTGATTTCTGCCTTGACCACTCACGGAAGACTTTAAGTTCATATGTAAGGTGGTCTCTGTAATAACATCAGCTACACAAAGCCATCACTGCGAAGCTCGGGATATGTGAGGTAAGGCTTAGTTCATTCTCTGGCTTCATCTTCTCTTGATAACATTTAGAAATTGATCTTTTCTGTTTGTTCATGGGTGATTATTGGCTTCTAAACTTCTTTATCTTTTCTGTTTCACCCACCAAAGTCAAAATGTACCACAGTGTGAATGTTGCATTTCTATACAATACTTGTTTTTATTGAAACATTTGAGGATCTTATTCACCAATAATATAAATTCTATGCATGCTTTTTGAAAACGAGTCTTCATAGTATGGGATTAAACAGCTGTTATTTCATATAGAGTGACTTCTTAGTTTGTCTTCAGGACCCTTTTATCCTCAGTCTAACCCTAATTTATAGAGTTAAAATGGTCATTTAAAATGTAGCCTTGTACAAGGAGATGATCTAATTATTCAGCCTTACTCTATCAATGTAATGAATTATGGAGTTTTCCCAGAGTATTTCACCTGAGAGAAGGAATGTGTCAAATGCTATAGTATGAATTTTCCAGCAAGCCAGTATAGATGCCAGAATCTTGAGTGTTTAGTGCCATGATCTAAGAGTTATTTTT